GCTTGTGGATACAGCTGTGCTAACACAATGCAACATTTGAGTTGAGAGGTCTGCCAAATCCTGGCACCAATGGCAGTTTTCAGACTGAGACTCAGTGATACTGTGCTCAGTTGTATCTCTGTGACCCGGGAAGTTGGCTTTCAGTTAACTTCGCAGGGGAAATATGTTCAAAAGGAAAAGTTTGACTTTGCCAAGAATCAGATAAGGTCAGAGTAATTAGACAAACCAGAGCTTTGTAGGTTAGAGATGAACACAGCCCTGCACTCCATGGGGTACTGCAAATGTGCTAGGAGAACAGGAAAGTGAAATGCATGAGGATGCTTAAATTTGCTGAAAAACTGAAGATCTGCATATATCTCTTAGTGTATTCTCAAGTGTAAGTTTGCATTTTAGAAGTGGGTTTTTTAACTTTTTAAAAAGAAGTTAAATGTATTTATCCTTCCTGTTTCTATTTTCCAGTTTAACCCACCAAAATGGGTTCATTGAATTAATTGTAATTTTTTAATACTATTTATTTATAAATTGCTAATATAATGTGATTGTAATATGATGGTAATTCATAGGCTTTCAAGTGCATATGTAATAGGCAGTACCCAGCCTCCATGCATTTCTGTTAAAAGACAGCAGGGGTTGTATTTCAGCTCCTCTTCTGCACCCTGCCACTGGAGGGGTGTTTGGCCTAGGGGCTGCCTTGGCAGCTCTCAGTCAGCGTTGGGCTGACACCAGCTGAGCTGGGCCAGTTTATACTTGAGGTCTGAACTGATAGTTTGTCCTGATCTTCCTTGGCTGCAGAATAGTAAAACCCTTTCTTGTTTGCCTAAGGTTGTTTCTGTGAGTGTCTGCTCGGTGGTTGCATCGCCATTACAGATTGAATGGAAGAGGACAGCCATTTCCTTCAGTGGTTTAATTTAGGCTTAAAATACAAAAAAGTGAGTTCTGCTAATTCTGCTGGTCAGCCAGCTGAAAGAAGGCAGCAGGTATCTCCTTCCTTCAGTGACGGCATTAATGGCGTCTCTTCCCTCTATCCTTTTGTCAGCATTTGTAAACAGAGACTCTCTTGTTAGTTTGGCGAAGAGAACAAAAATAAGTTAGGAACAGTTGTATAGCCTTGATTCCTTAGATGACTGAGCAGAGATGGGGTAAGAAGGATTGTGGGGAATGACTTTTTAAGTTCCCCAGATTGCTATGCTCTTTACTTTTCAGCTCAGGGGAGGAATGCAGACTGTCATATCTCTGCTAGGACTTTTAGCTGAAGAAAATGGGTTGTTTTGCCTTGTAAAAGCAAGATTGGAATGAGAGGATTGGAGGGAAGGATCCTGAGAAGTCCAGGAAAACGATTATCAGCTAAGTATAAGAACATGTTAAATACCAAATAAAATTGCAGGAGAGGGAGAAAAGCAGGAGCTGTTTTGACGAGAAGTCAGAAGTCTTGGTCCCATCCA